TAAAAGAAAATTTCTAATTTTGTTTTGAAATTATGTTTTAGATTATTATTTCTATTTATTTTAAGATTTCACAAATGAAGAAATGTTAACAATAATTTCTAGTTTTTGTATAAAGAAAATTACAAATTTTGTTTATAATTTTTGCTAGTCAAAAATGGTAAGATAAATTTCAAATAATGTTTTACATTATGTAAGTTATTTTTTAGAGTAAGAAATTGTGAAATGCCTCATGTGCTTCCAATGCGTCAAAGAACGATCGTCGTCGATTATATGCCTACTGTCAAACTTGCCCTCGACCATCTCCTGATTCTCTGGGCTTAATTTACCTATCTCCTATCACCTTCCTAAACAATATATATCAAATTGGAATCATAAACCTGACATTCGAGCAAGCTAGAGAAATGGCATTGCACTATTGTCGTGCAGGACTGCCCAAGTACTTCGAATCTGCATAAAACGCAATTCATCAATAGTCAGCATCGTGCGTCATCGGCTTGCTTTGTATGACTGGGAACCCAGTCATTAGAAAATCCTTACGGAGTTGGTTGCGTTCATGGCTTTTGGTTACGAAGCTCCATAAAGCGCATCGGATTCATGTTTCACCGACCGGGGAACAGTTTTTCTATGTCCCATCTTGGATTTGCACTTCATCTGTGTTCCTCGCAACCGTAGCACACATGCCATGCCCATGTGCTTCCCGCCCGTTAATACTGATCTTCTCTGGCACCTGATTCTAATTAATACGTCGTCGTCTCTGTTACTTTGAAATCAGCATCAGCATCAGCACCACAAGACTAGGATAGCCACAAGCTTTTGTTTCCGGTGAACCATGGCAAGTCGGCGATATCCGAATGGCTTATAGAACAGACAAATGGAATCGGTTCGAGTTTTAGTTGCGATAACCTTATGGATTTGACATGAACTAATACTACTTACTTTCCTCAAATGAGCACCTAGCTAAAGGCCATGACTACATGGCTCTCTTGCCTGTATGAGCTTCTTGACAATACGTCAATCACGGTCTGTGGCTTCGAGTTTGAATGCTGAATGCCACAATCATGATCATCAACCTGTCTTTATAGCTGCGCTGTCCTCGCCTGCAGTGCTCTGCAGCTCAGCGGGTCCGCGGCGCACTAGTATAATAATACAGGACCTAGAAGCCTGTCCAGAGATATCTGCCAGACTCATACACCACGCTTGCTTGTTCCTCTACTTTTCAAGACGTTCAAAAGCATATTGGACGCGCGACATGTCCACAGATCAAAGTGAGCATCGGAGAGTGCTGCTCCACACAAGCAGTCTTGTTTGCCAGACATTATTTTATGGTATTAGTACTTGTTCCCTCCCGACCGTTCCTTTCACCCTGACGACACCTTAATTTCTAGGTGTATATGCTGCACTGATGCCACTATCGACACATTTCTTACTGTGAGCAACCAATTACTTTCTGAACCAAGCGTAATGACCGAAATTGCCATGATGTACAGTAAAAAGACGACCATGTCCAGAGCAAATAAATTCATGTTTGCCATGACAATCTTCATGTTTCTGTTGTCCTCCGCCTTCTGGGCGTCGTCTGTGGCACACCTCGTTGCAACTCTCAACGTTGCCTTCGCCGCTCCTGATCATGCCTCTGTCGCATTCATATTATTCCCCTTGTTTAATGCTATCCTTCTTATAAATGTCTGTAAAGATGCTTTTCTTTTTCGCTCAGTAGATAGACAACTAACATCCAAATTTCCTAGTACGTCCTGACAGACACTGTCGTTGTCTGGCGTGCTTGGGTCCTGTGTAAAGGCGGTAGTAGACGCATTTTATGGATTCCCTTTCTATTTTTAATGTGCACGTCATGTGAGTGAACATCTTTCTTATTACAGAGAAACCATCCCAATTCTTTTCTTTGCGTAACCAATAGTGTCTGTCCTAGTGACGATTAGCATCAGAGTCGCAATAGATGCCGGATATACTGGCCTGAACAAAGTCATCGATATTAGTCAAATAGCGAATCTAGTACTGTCATTGCTCACAAACATGAGTGCGACGTCAATTATTGCATTCAGAGCGTGGTAAGGGTTATCAATCGAATGTAATTAATTTTTATGACTGGACGATCTGTCACTATTTATCCAGGCAACACCGTCAGTCGATCCGTGATGTATTATCCAGAGAACGCACAACGAGCACAAAGGTCGAGCGTATATTGACACTGCTTGTTGATTCTGGCCTCATCTATTGTATATCCGGTGTAAGTCAATTATAAAGCTAGAGTTACAGCATTGTTGAAACAAAAAAATACGAATTCAGATCCTGGTCTTGATTGCTTCAATGGTCCATCTTCCTGTTGGCACCCTTGGGGACATCTATACACCCGTGCACGTTCAAGTTGCGGTGAGTTTCTCATTAAAGTGCAAAAATTTCGTATACCTGACTTTACTCACTCTCTTGCGATTCAGGGGATATACCCGACAGTCGTCCTCATTCTTGTCAGCCAACAACGATCGTTGAAGGAAGGGGCCTTCTCCACGGCTGGCAATGCAACTGGCGTAGTCTCGGCTCAGATTGAAGCAATGGACTTCAGGACAAATCCTGCATTGACAGTCTCAATGATTTTCCATAATGAGTTCAGTGATTTAAGTCAAGACCAAGACGAGGACTCGGATTCGTCGGAGACAAGGACTGAACATAGTACGGATGGCCCAGAGGGCCCGAAAGTGAAGGAGACTTGAAGCTCCTTTTGATATCAATTAATAAACTGGTTGAAATCAACTGTAGGCTCTAAATAGAAGAATGTCGGCTTGAGTCCTCATTCAAGCATTTGAACATACAATCTAAATTATTTGCCATAGTTCGTGTGCAAGCACCGTAAGCGATCAATCCGGAAAATGACACATGTCAGAGACGACGTAGAATTTTCAAAAGGAGACAAGCATTGCAGCTCATGGGGAACAATATCGCCGATAAGAAGCAATAACTCATTATAGCTAATGCTATCTTAGCTCGAACTAATTGAATTACTTCAAGACGTACATCCGGAAAAGATAGAATATTACAACTCGGCTGAGGTGCTTGACAAATTTGAGGGACAGGGAAATCTGATATGAGCCAGTCCAGTGGCTTTGAGAGGCTTTTCCCAATAGTCTCGCCGTTCTGTACGTTCCCAAAACAACCGAAATCATCTTCAACTCCGGAAATAATTATGGGTTGAGTTGGGTGCATAGAAATCGCGAACACTGGTTTCCCGTGCACTGGGAAGTGCTGTGCTGAATGGAGCTGTATTCGTGTACAACATCAATTGTTGGTTCACCATCCTCACCTTCTTGCCCGGCCTGCTCCAGCCTGAAGTTTTCACTGTCGCCCTCGTCCATGGGTGAATCGACGTCATCGCCGACTTCGACGAGTGCGTTGCCCTCGTTCATATGTTGTTCAGTGACTTTTTGCTCATCGCCCTTGGAACTGTTGTGCGCTGCGTCTGCCATATTTTCGAAGGAAGGAAAGAGTGCTGGAAGCGTTATTGCAGAAGAAAGATTTGACGCGCTGAGTTTATGCAAGTGAGTTGCTTTGTATGAGTAATTTCAAATTTGTAAAATTGTAAGGCTTTCAAAATTCAAATACAGCAATACAGTCACTCTATCACGTGGTTTATGTCAACTCTGCAGATAACCTTTCTCCTCGTTTCGCAATTGACTCGCTCTCACGAAAGCCAACAGAACCGTGTTCACTTGTCAATTCAGGACTTCCTAATCTCCCATTTACTACTATTGACCAAGAACTTGCCCTCTTGTTCTTATAAATCGACCTGGCGTCTAGGTGTGCCTTTATTACTGCTTGTCTTCTGTGAACACGCGATGTCACGCGTTGCCCAGTTCGCGCACATCCATTATATTAGAATGGAATAACTAATAAATACAATCCCATGTGACGCGAGAGACGGTCCGGACCACGGTCTTCCCTTCTGCTCCCGTCTGCCACTGGTAGGAAGCTGTCAGTAGTTTGCATCGGCATATCCTGCAAGCACCGCTCAAGCTCCTCTCGTGGCTAAACATGGACCGGATTCGCTGCTTCTATAATACGCCATGCAGATAAAAATGCTACGTCTCGTGTAGGAGCACTGCATCTAACGATAATCAGCAAGATGGATTATCTCCCTCGCATCGAGTAGTTGCTGCGCAGGTCTCTTCACTTGATTGTCCAACGCATCTGTATTCTCCCAAATAACTTGGGGTTCAGGCCGACTCGTTAGTCACCAGGGAATTCCATTTACTTCTAAAGCTTACGAACAGAAGTATGCGTTATTCTAGAAGAAAGCCTCCTGATGCATGGTGCGCTCGTGTAAGTCCGATATCCAAATATGTGACCTACGAAATCATGGATACATACATGACGCAAAGAAGCATTTTTATCACCCTATAAGTCACCTCACGAGCCAGAAAGCATCCAACTGCGCGATTCCCTGGCTTCATCCCATCTGAAGCAATCTAGCCATGCTCTTACAGAGTATCCTCGTTGTTCTCTGTTCCTCACTCTTCGGAGTTATTCCGTCTAAGGCAGCTCCGAATAGACTGGTCATTAATACAACCTCAGGCTCGTTTCAAGGGGTACTTACAACTAATGGCACTGAGCATTGGCTGGGGATTCCATACGCACAGTCTCCTGTCGGGAGCCTCAGATTCAAAGCTCCAGTTCCGATTTCAAAACCACCACAGGGAATTCAGGCTGCATCAGCCTTTGGGAATGCTTGTCCGCAGCCACCTAGTGATCTGGGAGCCCCAATTGGCGAAGACTGTCTGTTCCTTAATGTATGGCGCCCAAATGGTACATCCTCCGAGGAAAAGTTACCTATCTTAGTGTGGATACATGTAAGTCAACTAGAGACCTTTCTATAGGATGGCGACTGAAATAAACGCGATAGGGTGGAGCGTGGACGACAGGGTTAGTATACTCGCTTTAAAGACTACGTGCGGGATAATAATATCGTACTAGGGCTGCTTCAGACCCGCATTGGGATCCCACGCGTATGTTATTCCAATTGCTCCCGCATATAATTTGACTAAGTAGTGTTTAGGCATCATAAATCGAAGCGTTACAGTTGGAAAGCCGATCATTTTTGTCTCCCTGTGCGGACGCTTCTTCTAGAGCTTATTTTCTCTGTGAAATTGATAGAACCCTTTTACCGCTGCAGGAATTATCGGGTAAACACTTTTGGATTTGTATGTGCTTTTTGCATTTTCTCTCGTACAATCCACTAACGCACGTCCAAGTTGGCAAGCGGGAATGTTGCGCCAGGTGATCTCAACGCTGGCCTACACGACCAGCGGGCGGCGCTACAGTTCGTTCAACAAAACATAGCATCTTTCGGTGGTGATCCTGAAAAGGTGAGAGCCAGTTAGATAGTCGCATTTTCCCCGGCCATCTCACAAATCAACAGGTTACGATCTGGGGTCAAGTAAGAACCATTCTTCAATAGAAATTGATAACTATTCATTGCCTGTTTTCTGTAGTCGGCAGGTGCTGGTAGTGTCGAAGCTCACACTCTATTTCCAGCTCGGGAGCAGTTGTTTAGAGCGGTATTGGCCGATTCTATGACTGGCCCTTTGTGAGTATTTATCTTTCCTTGGCATTTCCACGACTGAATTGTACTTTCAGTAAGAGTGCGCCATTCCCTTTCCAGTACGACGAGCCTGGAAAGCCATTTGCCCGTCTTGTCGAACGTGTTGGGTGCCCTCTTGACTCCGGTTCAATCTCGTGTCTACAACAGGTCCCGTTTGAGGTAAGCTCCTTACATCAGTCGAAAGAACTAAGTTCAAATCGTGGGACATTCTTAGACACTCTTGAACGTCAGCAATGAGATGATCAATTCGACATTGAACAGCCAATTGTGGGAACCTGCAGTCGGACCACCTGGGAGCTTTGTGGAAGAGAGAGCATCTGCAAAGATCGCCTCTGGAAATTTCTTACACATCCCGTTCCTTGCTGGGACTAACGTGCGCATACTCTTTACGCTTCCTGTCGAGCCTTAAGTTCTTGATATTAATCATGGTTCATTGGTTCCATTAGCTGAATGAGGGTTCAATCTTCAGTACCTCTCTTCTTGACGATTCTCATCCGGATATGACCGAGGACCAGGCTTTGGACTTCTTCATCGGTCAATTGATTTTGGACAATCGTACGTTAACTACCGATGTCCTGGATAAAATAAACGAGCTATATCCCGCAAACGATACTTCTCTCGGTGCTCCTTTCAACACTGGGGACTCTTTGTTCGATAGGGCTTCCGCTTTCTACGGCGATAACATGTTTTTGGCAGCACGGAGGCTCTTGTTTGACAAGGCAGCATCTTTGCAGCCTATGTTTGCATACCACTTCAGGGAGTTCATCCCTGGAAATGATCCTACCTTAGGCGGTGAGCATTATCTTATCAAAGAGCTGGTCTGAGTGACTGATATATTCGCTTTAGTTGCTCACGAATCAGAGCTAGTGCTCTTTTTTGGGCCCGTTCCGGCAGCAGTCGAAGACGACTTTGCGAACACGTTATTGGACTTCTATATCAATTTTATAAATGATCTGAATCCAGGCGGTGCGCCTTTCTTTGTCAGGTCGTGCTCAGCTATTGAAATTGTGTATTGTTTAGCGGAATGGCCCCAATTCACCTCGAGTGGAAGAAAAGTGCTGCAGCTCTTGAGGAACAATATCACAGCGATCGATGACGGTGAGTGAGCACTGACGCAAATAATTAAACGAGCCTGACTTTTACCTGCGGTCCAGACTTTAATCTCGAGAAAACTACATTCTTTAATTCGGCAAGGGTGCTCGACGAGATGGAGAAATAGTTCAAAGGCTCAATATTTTGACCTATTTTTCTTAATCATTGTTGGTACTAAATAACAATAAATCATTGTTCCATTGTGAGACAAGCCGACTGATAATTATGAGCAGTGTCCTTGTATGGCAGAGTTAATTATGGCTCAGGATTATGTAATGCACTGTATTTGAAGCCACGCAGACGGATTGCTGGTCAAAGCCCCTTGTTCGCTATCTTCATCTTGCCCTCTGACCTGCTCCTTTAGACGTCGTTCTTTTCTTTTCAAATCTTCTGGTTATTTCGGTTTAACGTGATCTCAGTATGTCTGCTCGATTTGCAGAACTAATGGCGATGAGTGCGGCGCAGACGCGTGACTCAGCAGCCGCCACGCAACAGATTCTCGAGGAGAAGAAACGGAGAGAAGAGCAGAGGAGAAAGGATCAACTGGAGCAGGAGAAACGGGATCGTGAATTACGGGCAATGCTTGTCAAGAAGAGGCTTGAAGAGGAGCAACGAGCGGAGGAGAGGAAACGGAAAGCAGAGGAGGACCGCCAGAGAAAGGAGCAAGTGATCCGACGACGAGAAGATGAGCAGCGGAGAAATCTGATTTACGGAAAGGAGCGCAAGTCAGGCTGGGGTTCCTCAGCAGGAGGAGGCGGACGTGGGCGCAAGTCGCGGAACGGTTCCGATGATGACGGGGATGCCGCAACAGCGGATGCGGGATCAATGCTGACAAGAGAGGAGAAACGACAACGAAGGATCAATGCAGATTTCAGCAAAAACTTTGCATCACTACGAAAGGCCCAACCCGGTTCCGCTTTACAAGGCTTCAAGAAGTCAAGTAAAATAACCAATGCCTTTGATTACTCGGAATCCTTGTCTACTCGACCGTCGGAGGCACGTAACATGTCGCAGGCAGGTAGCAGCACCTCGGATGGTGTAACCTCGTTGCGAAAGCAACTCGCTGCTATGCCCCCTACCTTCACAAAGGTGGGTACAACAAAGCGCGATACGCGAACGATCGATGAGATTGTTACCGACGCGCGCAAGAAGAAAGCAGCCAAGGTACTCGAAGGTGAAGAGGCACGCCAAATGGGGGACTGGTTCGGAGAAAACAAGAAGAAAAAGTCGACTTCGGTCCATTCTTTGTCACCAGCTCCAGATGCAAGGGCTTCGGAGTCACCCCGTTCTCGTTCAAAGGATCGTGGATTGGGATCGAAACCCTCAGCATCTGCGGCACCTCAAGCTAACGGAAGTAGTCTGCAAAAAGAGCCTCGTACTAAGGTTACACTCATCAAGCCCGACGCGAACGGCTCGCTATCGTTCTCAAAGACAGCCAAAACTAGCGACTCAATGCCTGCTAAATCTACAACGGCTCCAAAGTTTAACGGAGCACAGTCATCCAAACAAGCCATCGTTGGAAAGTCTAATTCTCTTGCAAACAAGAAACGTGCTCGTTCGTATTCTCTATCTGACGACGACTCTTATGATTCTCTGGACGATTCCCCTCCGCCGACGAAGCGCCGTCCTGCTGGATCTTCTGGCCGAAACGACTTAAGCTCAGAAATCTGGAAGCTGTTCGGCAAGGATAGGAACCAGTACATGCAGAATGACGTTTACAGTGATGAAGACGATGACATGGAGGCGGATGCGGATGCACTGAGAAGGGAGGAGATGAGAAGGTATAATAAATGCTCATTATATCGGATTCTAGCTTTTTATGGCTTATGCATTTACGAACTTACAGCGCGAGGCTTGCGAAGAGGGAGGATGAGCTAGCCGCCGAAGAAGAGAAACGTCATGAAGAGGAAAAGCGCAGGAGGAAGAAAGAGAAGGAGAGGAGGGGCTATTGATCCTTCAAAACACTCGATAATAGATCCTTGAACGGAGACACAAAAGACAGACAGAGCATCGAAATGGAACAGTCTCATCCAATGATTCACGAAGCTATCACAAACAAACATCTTTAGCACTTTAGATATATTTCTCAGACATTTACTCAGCATCTTGGTATACCACAAGCTCTTGCACGCATCATCTTCTCTGCTATATGTATATATGCATGTCCAGCTACACGTTTTCCCTCGGATATCCTTGCTTCATGGAACACGCTTCCCTCAGCGCACTGTACTTTACGCATTGCATTTCTGTGTAGTCCTTTCTGTTGTATGTAGTATATTGCTAGGTTGTTCGGAATGATGATTATATATTTCTATATCTAGAGACTTCATTTTTCGGTATCTCTTCTATTGAGTTGCAAGCCAATTCATGTCCTGATGAGAACACTGAAAATGGCTTATTTTCAATATGTGATTGAATATGCATACCTTTCCCCTGAGTCTACGTGAAAGCACCTGTGTGCAACCTAATTCAATAATTGAGGTACAATCACGGCACTGTCCGGTGCCGGGCCGCTATCTTCCATAAATGGATAGCCAGAGATCCCGGTGTTGTCAACCGACCGGCACGGTTTGTGAACCAAGTGCTCTCGCGAACGACCACCATGGTCGACGCAGAGCCCCCACAGGCCGCTGTTGCTGTCGCGGGAGGGTCTGTTCCACGTCCAATGGATCCCGACGCTTGTTCAGTCGCGTCCAGGGGCCGTCTCAGCGATGCAGGTCGCTGCCTCACTCGCCGGTCGCGCGTGCGTCGAAAGAACTCTCGTCGTGACGACGAGTCGTCTTCGGAACCTCTTTCGACCTCTGGGGACATCTCCAGCGGCCAACTGTTTGTAAAAATACCACCTCCCAACGCGCGAGCGGGTTCCTCTCCCAAGAGCCTGGGTGCTTTGGAGGTCGGTGTCTCGCTTTATTGAATCCGACGCGTTTTAATAGGACTTTTTTTTTCGTGTTGAATGGGATATAGACAAGTGCACCACCGCGACCTCCACGCTCTCCCCGCCGTCTGCACACAGCTCCTGTTTTTGGTAGCGAGGAGATTGTCGCAGATCAGCAGCGCGTACGGAGACACCGCACTCGTAGCACGGATCCAGCAACAAGATGTTCAGCAATAGGTGATGCTCGTGGCAGAGAAACGCGTTCAGAGAACGGTCACGAAAGAACAACGCAGCGAGTGAGTCGTACAGTTTCCATCCCTTACTTACTCTAAACAACTGATTTACTACTCGATGATAGTCTCGGGGTTTGAGCCTACCCAGATACGCATTTCGAAATAACTCGCTATCTGACTCTTCCGAACAACCTAGCCCTCTAACTCCTAGCGTGTTCAACGACGTTCCCCCAATGCCCGTGTTTGCTCGGAATCGCCGTTATAAGCACCAGACTCGTGACTCAGGCGCTACTCAGCAATCGACTGCATCAAGTTCTCTGTATCCAAAGTCTACTTCAACTGAAGGCTCTTACCTGTCTCCACCTTTTTTGGCTGCACAAGATATAGATGATCCGCACATTGTTACCGTCGATCCCGTAGAAAATCCGCACTTGCATGAGCTTGAGGAGATGGATGCTGATGACGTTTCTTATCGCCTTCGGTTGCTTATGCGAAACAACTATTATCTTCCTCCTGCTCATTCAAAACCGTTCAGCGATATACCTTCTCCTGATACACCGAAGAAATCACCTGTCAAGGCCCCTTCACCGACATTCCTTGATTTCTTTAAGGTTGTCAGGAAGAAAAGTGCTCTTTTATCGGAGAATAAAGCTGCTACTTCACCTCCCGCGCCATTGTTAAGGACGACCTCGGACTCGTCAACTCTATCAGGCTTCTTGCGCCCACAGCAGCTAGCACCTTCTCCACGTCGCGAGCACGCAGCATTTTTGCTCCCACAATCCAGACAAGAACCTAAAGGCCGTGTAGTTGTAGTTAGGGAACGCGTGGACGACCTAGCAAGCGTTGCCAAGCAGGTAGAAGAGGAACTGAAGGCACGGGAGAGGCGTCGTACTGCCAGCGATACTTCCCATTCGGAGACTATTCAAGGCGACTTCGTAGATCCTACGGATTTTGTAGACCTTCCCCCCGTACCTCCAAATGGATTCTTTGGCCCTCAGGCAGCATTGCTTCGTGGCATGGGAATTGATTCTTCTCTGGGAGCAGCACTCTTAGCCGACCAGCTTCCTCCCTCGAGCCCTGGGATATGGTCAATTGAATCGGAAGATGCGGCGTGGAGGAAAGCACTGTTGCATGCGGCTGTTGGACATTCATTAAGCAACTCTTCGGCTAACACGCCTGGCCGTTCGGTCTCCGGGTCCAGTCGAGTACAGATGTTTGATGGTAGTTCTCCCGCCGCTAGGTCTACTTCACCTTCCGTCTTTGACCCATCTATCGTATCGCCTCTGTCCAGTCACCCGCCGTTGCCTGCGACGGCGACAAATGACAACGGACCATGTGACACCGTTGACAACCCAGAGCTCGTCAGAAAACCCATAATTGGACAGCGAATACTAAACCGAATCATTGATGAAGATGACACGCATTCAGTTGATGGGCCTCTTCCAAGTTCTGAAAAGCCTAGTAGTGTAGAAGTGGACCGCAATGCAAAGCCCGCAAACCAAATTGAAGCACCGCAGGGTTTGTTCGTGACCGCCGAACCTATTCGTGCATCATCCCCTACGGTTCCGACGATGCCACTTTTGCCACCTCCGAGGCGAACCAATTCAACTCCGACTCACTCAAATGGATCTCAGTCCGATAATGCTCAAGGCAAAGAAGATCAGCAAGTAAATGGTCAGTCAGGGGCTGGTCCTAACCTCCTTCAGCCGGAACGCAATACTTTGAGGCTTTCGGATTCGTACGAGACGCATGTTGGTCTCAGTGGTGCGTTCGGTGACCTCACACCTCCTGCTTCCCAGCATAATTCGGCAACTCTATCCGTTGTAAAACCCGGTCCGGAAGAATCTGCTGTGATTTCAGAGAACTTAAGCACGACTAGTGGCTCGCATTATTCGGATGATGAGGATGGCTTTGCTACTTTCCACACTCCTCTAGAGCATACACGGCTGTCGACACCCGCTGCTTCTCGCGCATCACTGGGCTCCATGTCAACACCCCGACCGTCTTACACTTCGTCGCTGACGTCTCCAACGACTTCTGCATTCCGAGATGCAATTGACCGAAGTCCATATGCTGGCAGCTTTGCGACCGACTCTGTTGTCAACACGCTTGGAGATAATGCGCATATCCCTGCCCATGCCTTTGACGATGAAGACTCACGGTATGCACCCGTTTCACCGCCGCCACGCGTATCGTCTTCTTTAGCGTTCAGTGCTCTTAGCCCGCCTCCCAGGTCACGACGTGCCAATATCTCTTCTGGACCTTCTATTGACGTTTCCGCGGTCAGGGATCACTTGAATGAACAGGATGATCCAGAGACACCCACTAGCTTGCATGTACCGAGATTGACCGTCCAGGATCCACATGTTTTGAATAGCCGTTCGAACTCCTATCCGGCATCACCGATTTCCTTTTTCGACGCGGTTGAAATGCAAAGTCGTCAAGAGGAGGAAGAAGAATCTTCCGACGAAGATGGTGAAGACGAGGGAGATGCGAGAGTGGACGTGCGTGATGATGTATCCATTGCGAGCTCGAGTCCAGGCGGGTACCAGAGTGACTCTGCAGGACCATCCGTCATCGATCATCGGGCAGGTTCGGTGCATAGCGATACACACACCCCTCGGCGTACACTTGGCAAGCTCATGCAACAACGCAATGCGTCTTCTCCACAGCTCGGGGTGCATTCTTCTGCAAGTGAGCATAGCTCAGGCCTTGGTTACGGTGGGATAGACCGGCGGGCAGTCACGAACGTCCCGCAATCGCAGTCACGCATGTCTTTCTGGCGCCGAAAGCATGGCAAGCGGCATGAACTGTTTACGAATCCACCACGGGTTTCTGAATCAACGGCCGACTGGTTGAAGCATGAAGCGGCCAAAGAGGCATTTACAGGAATAAGGCGACCGCAAACGGCAGGTTCAAGAACAGGCACCGCGAATGCACGAAGTGGCCTGGAAGGACAAACACATCTGGATCCGTCTGTCCGCCGTTTGGATGGTATGCTCGTTCAGCATATGAAGCGCGAGAAGGAGGTATTGAAGCGTATTACTGCTACAATATCCAAGTCCTCTTCATCAAACTGACCCACATTTATTTAATAATGCTTTACTTACTCAATACTGACATTCATCTTACTCGCTAAAATTTTCTGTTTTGCTGTATACCCAGGGCTTCTGGAGGCGCATCTTGATTCTACACTGCTCTTACATATAGGACTTACTTTGGTTCATCTCTGCCTCTCTGCCTGCTACATTTATTTCCATATTCACCGAATCATCCAACTACACAGCTATCCTTCATTTAGCACGCTTGCTTCTTTTATTTTCTTTATTCTCCTTTTTTTCAAGCAATTTGGTTGGAGGTCTCACATTTCTTATCTGCGCATTGTATCATGTACTCTTTTTTTGACTAGGCATTGACTTACATTTCGCCTGTGGGTGATCCAATAAATGGCATTTGTTATACTGATTGAAGTGGAACTGAGTCATGCGTGAGTGTTGCTGTGCAGGATGGTATTAATACATGGAGGTCCGTGCCGCAGGCCGCGCGCTTGTGCGTAATACTAATAATGAGTGCCGATTATCACGTCTCCTCTCTTTCTCCCCTTCCACACAGCAATGGACGACGACAGACACGTAGGAGCCTTTTCGTGGCATCAAGTATGTTCACATGCGTTGTGTCCAGCGTGAATATGTATTGACTGATAGGCCGTTGTTTCGATAGTCGCTCGACCAGGTATTAACCGCGCACGTCTGTGCTCTTCACAATAGCTAACTCTAATTCACAGGCAACTATCAACATACTTGTACCTCATGAAACGATACTGGATGACTTGGATGTGAGCAATGCCCTAGGAACTATGTGGATTGCTGCTAATAGGGGTTCATCCTTTGTGTAGATAGTCATTGACCCACCATACGTGGTGGCGAGCATACGTGGAAAGATGCCCATTCTAAAAGCGAGTTCGAATTTCATCGACATGCTTCGACACTGCTATCACCGACAGAAACTGACATCCGTTCTATTGTAGGGAAAGATCTACGAAGCGGTCAATAAGGAACAAACGCACTGGAACTTCGAGCCAACGGACAATCCGCGACGTCGTACCACGTCCACGGCATCCACGATATCGACACAGTCTTCATATGCATATGTATCCGATGCAGAAATCTCGAGCAGTTTTGCTGCATCTCTCGAAAGTGCACAGGTGTCTGACAATGACGACTCAGACTTCGCGTCTCCTGAACGCTCACATCCCGTGTCGCGCGACGAACAAGCACAACGTATGAACGCCACGATCACGATACCTGCATTTCCGCAGCGCGCAATTGGTTCATTCCCTGCGTCGCCGCAAATGCAGTCAATGGAATCCTCGCTTTCTTCTCTCGACTCATTGCGACCTGAACGTCCAGAGAAGTTGTTGACGATTGTTTTGGTGAAGACGAGGCCAGCTTATTGGCCTCGGGTTATTGACGGGCCAGTACCGGATACATACTCCCCTACACCTTCTGGACCATTCACCTTTGACCCGAGTGTTGAACGGCAAAAGTACAACATGGACCCTACTAGTCTTGGATTATGGGGAGAGGAATATCTCAAATTACGTAGCGATAGGGAAGAAGCTTTTGAGTATTTCGTGTAAGTGCAGAATCTTCCGATTCTTCAAGATTGCTTACACGCCCAACAGACGATCATGGCATTACTTGCATACCCCGTTCTCGGCACTGCGTCTCGTAACCTACTTCCTGCCAGTAACGACAATCATACCCGCTTCTATTCTATCTGCTTCTCCTCAGTCTCCTCCTTCATCTTCCACCCTACCCCGACGAGGTACAGTAGAATACTATGTTCTAAGCCTTGGGGGAATTCCTGCTCTCGGTCAACTGTTCCTAGAAGCAGGACTTGCCCATCTTGACGGTATTGCGACAAAACTTCTGTCGTCCAACTATTCGCCGCTTAACTCCATTCGACGTACCGAGCCGCCAGTGTCGTCGACGCGCGTTGAAAGTAGCACGCAGCTATGGAGACGCGACCGAACGAACGCACGGACGTATTTTGAACGAGCTCGGAAGCTAGCTCCGTCAATGGATGGCTCGATTCCGTTCCTCCCAGAAGAAACGGATCTGCATGCCGTTGACCGACCAGGACGCGGAGGTCGCACTAGTCCGTGGCGGAGAGAAGGAACGAAAACTGGCACTAGCCCGCCATCCGAAGAAGCTGAGCTTGAGCTGCAAATGCCGTCGATGTTTGTTGACGAAGCGAAGACAATCCGGCCGGAAACCAAGGATCGGGAGAAAGCACACCCAGAGTCGACAGTGCGGGTCCGGAGGCGGCGACAACAGGCATCGGAAGCTCTTCTGGAGCAGACTAACGAGCATGAGCAGGAGGAAGATAGCACGTGGTACCTTTACCTTCCTGGCCTTGTGGGTGCTGGAACCGCGTTGCTCGTGGTGAGCGTTGTGGGGGCACTGAGCTTTCAGTCTTGGCGCAAAAATAATAACTGAAGAGATCTGAAATCAATGTACTTTATATCGGCTTGGTGCGTATTTGTATTTTCCGAGTCTGTCCATGTGCTAAACAAGAACTAGATCTGTCTGCAGCTCCCAAGCTGATGTTAGTACCTCGCACTTCAGTGCAACACTCCTGTTCTCTATTCTATCTCTCCAGTTGACGATGATGATGATGACTTACGACGTATATCACACCCACGACCTCTACTTGTCTCTTCTGTCGCTCCTTTGTACTATCAATCCCACACCTCTCTTTCATCTCTCTCGTTCTAGAACATCTGGTTGATAGAATGTTTCGTCTCGCCGCATCTTTTTGTCGTTGTGCTGTGTACGTACAGGCTATCAACATCGCTTTGAATCTCTATTTCCTCCCCTCCAATATTGTTTCAGTTAGGCATGAATTGTAAATGTAATGACAAGATTTCTCGCATAAGTAACGCGGCGTATGTTTACTCGTCGCTTCTGAGTAAAAAAAATGAGTATTTGATGAATGAAGTTCTTTGACGATCGAAACAAATGTCGTCAAAACGTCTGATCCTTCTTGAAGTTCTTCCGAAAGGATGCACATAAGAATGCATGCCGAACGATGCCACCGCCATATCCTCCGGCCCTCCGCTTCCAATCTTCTAACTCCACCACAGGAACTTATAAGCGCTCCGTCGCGGATCCGAGTCCGACAGTCCGACTCGGCCCGCCCCATATGGTCAGTAATTAGTATCAATGGTCATTATCGTTGCGTTGCGGAAGCAGGGAAGCGGAAAACAATGCGACGAAACGGAAATGCAAAAAAATTTCCAGAATTATTGCTTTGCGCGGTGTTTTCCCCGTTCGCTTGAGTCTTGACAGTCCAGAGTGTAAAGAAGGGCGTTAGGGTGCAAGCAAGGCTAGGGTAAGTGGTCTGTAAGTTTGGTGCCTGAATGTTTTGTGTAATGCGTTCCTGGAGCAGGAACGATAAACTAGGTGTGTGCTTCTTTCGGTTAAACTTGTTGTTTAGGATGGATAAATTGCTTGGCTGGTTTGGCGGGGATGCCGAAGGGCTTTGGATGGATGCCGAGTGATAAGCCTTTGATACGATACGATACACTTGATGTCATTGAGCACGCGAATCACTCGTCGTTACGGAAATGGGTTTTGAGTGCTTGTTTCGGTTTCGGAAACATGCGATTTGATAGGTAGTGTTTTGAAACGTTTTAAGGATGAAATACAGATGATGCTTGCATGGTAGCATGGTGGCTGAATGGCTGGCTGGCTGGCTCGGAAGTTTCATGCAACATAGGTGTTTGAATGTAGACTTGTGATTGAGGAACGGAAGGTTCGTGTTTGGTCTGCCAGTGAGAGGTTACCGCACTTACAGCGTTTCCGGAAAACTATGAGAGTCGCGTTGTTCTTTTTTTCCCCCTTGCCACCTGCCTTATTTGGCAGGTGACTTGCCAAGCAACATACACATAGCTTGCCATACAACAATAAACTACTGTAGTTGCCTTCATAAGAGTTTTCAGACACTCCCTAGTATCATAAGACTAAAATAGCAAATATATTAGGTTAACAGGACTGTCTTAGAGGATGCTAGCTTCTTAACAAGAGTGGTACAATCATTCAAACATGTAACAACAAAAAAGAGGTAATTCTGTCAATATTATAGAGGGAAATTGTAATTGAAAAGGTTCAACATATGTTTTAATGTATAAAAAGGTGTATATTAAGTGGAAAAACAGTACAGAGGTTTTGTATGTGTCTAAACAAAAAGGTGGTTGAAGTCACCTGCCTCATTTGGCAGGTGGCAAGGTGGAAAAAAAAACGACGCGACTCTCATAGTTTTCCGGAAACGCTGTAAGAGATGCACAGATCACATAGAATTATATAGAATTATATAGGAATAATGGAATAATGGAATAAAAGGACAAGGGGCAATGGAAAATCCAATTCAAAGTTGACTTGAATCCTTGATCGCACTTAAGCCAACGAATGGGTCCCTTAGACTTTCCCGTCAGTTGCTCGCCTAACCTTACATTCTTGTAGTGGTGTTGTCGCCGTCACTGTGGCTGGTCTCGGATTTCTCCTTGATCTAGGCTTTCGTTGCCCAATCAGATCTGAGGGTAGATCGATTCCGTGATGTGTTCTCTGGTGAGCAAGATGGGCTGGCGGAGAGCTCATATATCGAACGAAATGTTGGTATGGTATGGTATGGTGCGTAGCGGGAGAATGGATGGTTACGTAGGACACGCGACACGAATGAATACATAAAACTTGTGTAATTATGTAACGGGTAGACGAGTTAGATTTATTATTTTAAGTGTCAAATGGAGGATTCGATTCGATTCGATTCGACTCGGGACCTTCCCGTCCTTTAGTTTGTGCGTGCGTTGTTACGTGGAATGGAATGAATGAAAAGAAATCGGTATGCATGTATGCATGCAAGATTAGAATTACATGGAACTCTGGAACAGGGGAGTTTTAGCTAGTGAGTAGTGAATGGTACATGCCGGTTGCACATAGTTTATTACTTCGTTAGTGGTCAGCGGCAAGAACGTACCGTCCTCGGCGGACGCGTAGGTCAGCGGTTTTCATGGATATGGAATCATGGATTATGTATGGAGTCCGTGACCCTGCTGCCCCGCAGTCTAACTAGCGTCGGAAGTAAAAGAAAAAACTGAAAATAAGCTGACTACATTTACCTCCGTTTCTGATAAGATTTCCGTTCGGTATTTCTGGCCCGCTTGGTACTTCTGGAAAAGAGCAACGGAGGCCAGGGGAGGGAATTAGAGGTTGTGATGCGTATGATAGGTATGATAGGTATGATAGGTATGATAGGTATGATGGATCATTGGTTGGTGATGATGAATGATGACCACCTGAGCGTTCTCCCGCGAACCTTGAAGCGCTCAGGATCCCGTTGTATCTATTCTATGATTCTACCACGGCCTCCGTCACCTCTATCAGCAACGTTAAATCGTTTATTAGCTTTCCGATAACGATGCTTATTATCCCCTTGTGTATATGACTCTTGTTGTGCGTCCCTGGGGTTGATATACTGAGGTCACCCGAAATAGAAGAAGATGCATGTGGACTGTTGCGCTCTGTTTTTAGAGTTTGTGTGAGAGGAGGCTGATGAGTTGGACCTCGTGGCTGACTGGTTTTGCTCGTGACATGGGCAAGAGAGTTTTTAGTAAGGCAATAGTTAGTTAGGTAGATTTTTTGATACGACAGGGGATGACGTTATATGAATAGTTAGTCTTCTTGCTTCTCTCATACTTCTTTGAGGAAGGTGAGATTGAAATTTGGCGGGACCATCTCATCTTGTAAATTTATGAGTGGAGAAGCTTCTGCTCGTAAAGGTGCGTTAAGTGCGATTAGGAGGCGAAATCATACCGAGAACGTGAGTTGGACCGAGTTGATCATGAACATGTGTCAAAGCACGTTAGCAGGTCCAAACCTTTGAAAGGTTGGTCTAGGGACATGTATGATTATGAAGATATGATGAAGATATGACAGCATAAATCTTACCCTTACCTTGCGGTGTAAATGATTTAAAAAAATAAGAGCGCATACATGACGAGTGAGTAGTTATCTGATGGACTATCGGAGGACTTCATAGACCGAGTCTACTTACTGATATTTCCTTCTGCTTAGAAAAGGACCAAAGGGACGGGAAGGCTTGGTTTGCCCGTCAACTTTTGTCAGCCCTTCGGGCTTTCCTCTCGATATGTGTATATTTATCTGGGTCATTTTAGCGCATTGACACTGGCACTGGAACGGGAGCACGGGAGCACTTGAATGAGTAAGGCCGGGGCATGCCGCATGGTGCACAGACCGTAATTGAACTGGGCTGGGTACTCGCTAACTGAGTAAGTTGAGTTACGCGAGACGGGCTGCCCTGGAGATCTTGTGAGTTACTGAGTATGAGTAGAGCTAGCCGGAGGGAAAATAAAATTCTAATAACTGCGAGGGAGACCGTAGACGGTAAGGATGATGGCAAAGTATAAAATAAAGTAGGGTGTCTGTGTCCGTTGCGGGATGTTTGCTGGCCGAGAAGGCCATTCTTGGCAGACAGGGTTACGATAAAGCGGCTTCGGATGAGAGAAGAAGGTGATTATGATGAAAAACAAGAAGAAATACAAGGAGCTGTGCTATGCGTTGGCACCATGGATTATTGGATTCTGACGATCCGAGATGGCGCTCATCAACATCAACAATCCACCTGATCGAGATCATGCTTTCTTTTTAGAAATAGTTTGTTATGTAATCAGTTAGGCAAGGTACACTCCCCGCGGCAATTCCATGTCCTCCCAAGTTGCATTGCACAAAAGGAAAGCAACAAATAAATTGAGTGGCAATTATGTGTGGTTATCGTTGGCCAGGGATGCGCAGGGCAACATATAAACAAAGAAACGCGCATTGAATGGACGATGCGGGGGAAGTAAGTAAATTGTCGGAGAGAGGGAGTGCGGGAAGAATAGACTAAATTGACGAGGCACGAATAGGGTCGCCTCCCTCAGAACACATCTGCCTGGCGTCTCGCCCCGCCATAGGCCCGTTTGAATCTTCGCTCTCTCTTGCATCCTCTCTTCCATCTGCCCTCTTTGGCTCGCGTTCCCCTCGACGCCCGATCCCGGGCTGCCTCGCTGAGCGAACAAAAGGCGCAGTACAGAGCAACACTTTTTGCGCATGACGCGACCCCCGACGCACCGACGTTCCGGTCTGAGCTTGTGAAATTCTTCGCTGTACGGTAACTAGACTATTTCGCCTACGCTAGTGGGCTTCTCGCGCCGTCCCGATTGCGTAGCTTTGTTAACGTCCGTGCCCTCGATGGACTCCCAAAGTCAGATCCAGAGCTCACTTGACGCTCACAGCCCGAGAAGCATAGGCGGTGGACTGAGTAATGGCGCAAAGCGCCCGTATGAAGGCAGCAGTAGCGAGAGCGTCGTCAGCTTTGCCACCGACAGTGTTAGCGTAACACAGTCCATGTCCGCCAGTGTCACTAATTCTGTCCTCGGCCCCGATGGAAAGCGCCCAGCGAAATCGTCTGTCTCCACCGCGTATGTGCATTGTCTATCTCTACCCAATTCAATCCGAGGTACGCACTAACTGCCATAACGTTAGTGGGTGCCGTCAGCGCGTTACTGTAGTCTGCGCCGAGGTACGCCGTGCTGTTGTTGCATTGCTTATAGCCCCTTCATGATGATCTGATATTAAATATTAAATGCTGTCATAGTGTAAACGCCTCAAGCTCAAATGCGACAGGCGCACACCCTGCGGATCATGCACAAAACGTGACACGATCCCGAGATGCATATATTCGCAGGCCGCGGCCGAGAAAGTGTACGTTCCAGTCCTCTTCGCCTCCCCCCTATTCACGAAAATAACTTATAACCTCTGACATGCCACCCTGCTACCCGATTCCACCCTTTTAACCCTCCATCTCCACACCTTGATACAACTATCTCTCTTTCTCTTTCTACTTGACATGCAACGCTATATCCTTGCCGACAATGCAATTTTCTTTATTCAAACCCGACCGCGACCGTCGCCCCGCTCTCTTACGTCGTCCACGTCGTCCGCCCCGCGTGAACAGAGACGTCCAATCTCTCAACATCCGCCTTCAGGCTGTTGAAGGGAAGTTGAATGGCATAGGTCTGCCCGCTGATCAATCGTCCTCTGGTGCGGGCCCTTCCAACTCTCGTACTGCTATCCCTTCTTCGGCTTCAGTGACTAGAGGCCGACCTCGCGCCTTCCTCGCTGTCGGTGCACACGGCACATCAGTCGCCGTCAATCTCGAAGGTGTCACAGGCCTTTGGGTCGACCATCTTGGACTGAGACCTTCCGTGGCGAACGCGCGAGCTATCCCCTCAAATCTGGGTGAACTGGAAATAGAAAAGGAGTTCTGGGCTGCGCAAGAGAAATATGCTGCTAAAGAGGGTATTAGCGGCCTCGAATTGCGTCCATTCCCGTCAATGCCGAACGAGGGCGTTCTTGAAATCCTGGAGGAGTCCTCGAAGCTCTTTCGTATCCCCAATTCCCTTTTATCTTCTGCTCGTTCTGACACAGGCGACTATGTCGTAGTCAACGATGGAGATGCTGAGCACGACCACGAACGTCATGCCGGTGAAGAACGCGAAGATGAGGATAGTGATCAGATTGGCGTGTCCCCAAAGCTTGTGCGTTATGCCTTCCCTCCTGCGAATGTCCGCGCCGAAATCTACAAACGCTATGAAGCGTACCATCTCTTGGCACCGTTTGTCAATTTCTTTGTCTTCAAAAGCCGGACCGAGGAAATGTGCCGGTGGGCGGATGCAGAACTTAGCGGATCCGGAAGAATGAACGAGCCGCCTCCGACAACAGGTACTTCGACCTCAACGACGCCGCCAGCAGCGAGATCTGTCACAACTGGTCCGTTCGCACCTCCAACACTCAGCTTCTTTGCAGCGGCCTCGATGGGCCTGGCAGTCGGCGCACAAATCTGGCTCGCTGAACGAGAAGCGCTCTCAGGCGACGGTAATGCGGGTATGGGTACCACGGAACACGTATCGAGTCCCGGTACATCGAATGCCGTTCCCGGACCCAGCACGAATTCATTTGACAAATCAATGCCTCCACCTCCGCCTCCTGGCACTTCATTTGACAACGGCCCGTCAACGTCGCGTCGTTCTCCCGATACTTCGACTTCCCAGACGCAGGGCGCTCCTGAACTCGATCCGCGCGTTCCGGGGAAGTTGTACCGACTTGCAAAACTTGCCCTAGGATTATCGCTTGAGCGTGGAGGTTACGAGGCTTTTGACTTAGATTATGTCCACGCCAAGTGTTTACAGGCGCGTTATCTGCTCATTTCACACCATGGTTTGGGTGAACGCGGTACAGATGCTTTGCGTGGTCTGGGCGTCGGGAGAAGAAAGAAGATCGAAAAGAAGGGCGGCAAGGGAAAAGCTGGTCCGAACGGGATATTGCCTACCGATGAAGACAGCGAAGAAGCGGATGCGGTTATGGGCGATGCGTGTAATGAGCCGTCATCTTCTCAAGCTAATGCAAACCCGTCTGCAAGAGGGAAGGGGAAAGCAAGAGCCTCTGCACGCGGTCCAACACTGGCACTTGCGCCTGAAATGGTTGGCGCTGTGGGCGATGCAGTTGCGAACGCTCGTATGATGGGTCTCAACCACGATCCGGAGCTAACAGGCGGCGGGAGATTTTCTCTGTATGAAATAGAGATGCGGAGAAGGCTCTGGTGGGAGGTTGTTTCTCTCGATGCGTAAGTCAATCTCCTTTTTTACATGACGTGCGCAAGAGGCGTATCCCATGTGATTTAAGCATTTATAACTGACATTTCCCTCTGATTTTCTTTTTCCCAATGCACTTGAATAGATTCGTATCAGGATGTCTTGGGGAGAGTCCATTCATCAACGACAATAGTGCCACAACAGAATTTCCTACCGATGTGGATGAGGAAAGCTTCGGTCCTGATTCCGCGAATCGCCCTGCACCGAATATTGAGACCTTGCATGGAAACATCGACTTCTTTGTTCAGCAATGCAGGTCAGTTTACCGCACAATATTTCACAGATAAATCATTAATTTATTTTGCCTGTCTTCAATCGTCAGACTTGTGGCTCTTGGGAAGAAGCTTTCGCGAAAGGCTGCTGCCTTCAGGGAACTTCACCCAGACGCACGCCCCTCGGATACACACGAATTGGTTGACACGATGAAGAAAGAGATTGCAAGCTTTCTGACGAATCTTCCTGATTATCTTAAACTGAAGGACTTGCCTTCTCCGACTCGTGCAGAGTCGAGGCTCATGTCACCGTCTTCGAAGAAGCCAGTGACATCGCCAGGTGATCGCGAGAGTTCAGTATCGGCTGACCCTCCTCCGCATTTGCTCATGATGCGCAGCGTTCTAGCTATTCACGCTAGGCAGCTCTTCATGACGCTTTGTTTGCCCTTTACGACAGTCAGGATCAGCTCGAATACCTCAGGGAGCAAAGTGAGTTGGGATGCAAGAAGAAGTGCCTTCGGTACGGACAATCTGGGACCGTCGTTGCGTGGCCTCGATTCGCTCGTGTTACTTGAACCGGCAATTTTCATTGTTCAAGTATGGAAGCATCTGCACAGTTCGGTGCGCGAAATACGCCCAGCGATGTTTATGTGCTTTCAGTTCAATAAGGTGTTCTTCGACGCCACGGTCGTATTGGGTCATCTTGCAATCGAGCACCCATTGCTAGCCGGTACGGCATTGGCAACTCTTCGTGTAGCAAGCGAAGTTATCCGTGACCCGTCGGTACTTACTGGACGGCTATCGGCGGACGAAGATGGGTGTGGACTACCCAACGAGGCAGTGAGAATCGTCGAAGAACTGGTGTTGAAGGCGGAGAGCACGGCCCACGAAGCTATTTCGGGAGGTGGACTAGGCTTAGGATTCGGCGGATTAGGCACGTCAACGCCACCTATTGCGAAGAGGAAGATTGAAGAAGTTGAGACGGCGGGTTCTGATCTCTTGTATCACTTCCGGTTCCCATTCGTTGGCGCAGGTGTCGTCAGTGCGGGTCCTCCTCCAGCCAGTGCTGGGACCGCTGGGCCGACATCTGACGCCTCGCCTTTGACCGACGGCGGCAATGCGGTCGTTCCGAAACCGAGCGAGCCGACGAAGAGCGGGAATATGCGGTCAAAGCACGCCTCCGCATCGGATGCCGCCGCCGCAGGTGATCCAAGACCAGCAACGTCGAAGCTCAAGTCACATCATCCAACGCTTTCCGTGCGCAGTAGAGTGAAGAATAAGGATTCGTCTCGTGCACGCGCAAACAGTGCAACGTCTCAGCGTTCGGATTCTTCTCACATGCTTCTGCCTATGAATCCCGTTCGGTCGTCTAACTCTTCGATTTCTCCGGCTCATGCGACGCACGATCACAATGTCCCTCCGAATGCGGCTTCTGTCGAGTCCTCAACTCCGGTGTTGGGTCCGTACCCTAGTCCTTTATCGTCGGCACCTGGTCCTGGCCCTCCACACTTTACCCCGCCGGGCACGAGCAGCGGTTCATCGTCTCAGCAACAAACCGGTGGCAATGAGTTCACTTCCGCATTTCATGACACAGGAGCCTTTTCCAGTGGATCACCCGCTTCTTATGGCCCGCCGTTCCAATCTCAGCAAGGCTCTTCATTGACCGTACCGTCACATGTCGGGTTTGATGGCTTTGGCGTCGGCTCTTCTGGACAAGGACAAGGCAGAATGTCGCTGGGTGGTGGAGAGGCTCCGCCATTTTCGTTTGGCTCGACCAATGGAATTGACAGGCCTGTAGGATTGCATTCATCTTCCCCGTTCGATGCTCTTGGAGGTAAGTCCGGACTTTTTTCCCCGTCTTGGAGTATTGAACAACGTAATTGAATTTCCCCCGTGTTTAACTCTACTTTTTGTAACAGGCCTACCTCGTCCGCCATCCGATCAAGACCGTCCGTTCTCTAGAAACCTCGTTGAACCTCGGAATCAGGGTGCAGATGAATCCATGACAACTTCAATGCAATCGTTGGAATCACAGCAACCGCATCCGCCTCAGATTTATCATTCTCATCCACATTCGCAGTCGCAACCACACTCTGAATCCCTGGTTGGCCAGCAAGGCTGGGGTCAGAACGGGGGTGTATATCCAACGACTTGGTATTATCAATGATGAGTGCCGTTGACTCGCAGTGCAATGATGGACATGGTTAAATCTTGTCCTTCACGATGATATTGAGATTGTCGATATTGTCGGCCTCTGTGGTCGCCAATACAGCGACAAGGTTTATATGTATTGGGTCACCCTGAATTCTTGTGTTTCCGCCAGCCACCACACGCTGCATGCGAAGAACCTCGCACCATTTTCTGTCTTTTCCGTCAGGTCTAGTGATTGGTTATGACGTCCCTTAGAAGGTGCTATACGAAACGAAACGACATTGCTACTCTGACCTTGCCTATACGTTCGGTTGCATTATCATCTCTATCACCTCCATCAAATGTCACGTTAAGTCAAATCCAATCCCTGGTTTCAACAAGTTTGTCCCGCACTATATTGGTGTATCTTGCTTCATGTCCTTCCCCGACATCGATGTTCCCAATTTCATATATCCCTTTGACGCCTCTCTTCACCTACCTCATCGTCATAAATGTATCCCTTCAATCATCTTTGTTCTCTCTTTTTTTCTTGGTTTATTCGCCTACTTTCGTCTATTTCCTTGGTGTTTGGTCTGGTCTCATCATCAGCATTTGTCTCACTATAGATTTGATTTGATTTATTGTATGTTACGTGTGTCTTGTTTTACACGTGCGTTTTCTATATATTTTATGCTCATCTTGGGCGTTGTTCTATCTTCGTCCTTATCCTTACTCTTTCCCTCCTCTTCCTTCTTCCTTCTTCCGTCTTTCCCTCCTCTTCCTCTCTTCCTCTTAACCGACTCACCCTCACGTGTTTGCCACGTTGACCTCCCAAGATCCCAACTCCTATCCCCTACTCCTTTACTCTCATCCACTCAGTATCTACACCGTCCTCCCCCCCATCTAATCTGCCATTCATCCAAGTCGTTGCCGTTTCCTCTTAGCTTCTTTCTCCTTTTCATTCCTTCCTTCCTCAATTGTCTGTGTAGGATGGACCAATAGACAATCAACTCGCTTTTCTTGAGAGGTTTAAGAGATACTACATTTCGTGTCCTGACGTACAACAACAATCAATTGATTGATTCTTATTGAAATAAGTTTCTTTGTCCTGACTATTATCACAATAAATTTGTTTTGAGATGCTGGCTCTTGCTTGCAACTGTGCCTTTGTACAATCTTCTAATTACTCACTAAAGCACATACAGGCTCAATTTGACTTGCTAGGACCGAGCAGTATACAAAGTATGGTGATAAAGACTACGCTAAACGTGCTGAGTACACGTTCGTCCTTATCGGCAAATGCTGCTTGCAAGAGAACAAGGCAGAGGCTGCTGCAGCAGATATTTGTAGCACAATAATATACTATTATATACAATGAAAACTCTCATTAAGCATAACCTCCCATTAAGCATGAAATCTCAAATCTATCATTGTCCTTGTAGACATTAGAATTTTACTTTTTAACAAGCATAACCTCTCATTAGGCATGACTTTTTATGTCCACCAAGGGCAATGCTTAATAAGAGGTTTCACTGTATTTCTAATTATTAGATACACCTATTCTAATAGCCTCGAGAGTAGATACGTTAGAATCGACTATCAATGCAGTAGTCTAGAATGTCTAGTCATATAATTGTCGGCACGAATATCAAAACCTTGTCATTTTATGCTACAGATGGTATATCAACATAGTAATGAAAATCATTGAGTGTATTATTGCATCAATCAAGCACCAATATGTATGAAATTAACCCATCGTTCAGTCGGAATCCCTTCCCGCGCTTTCAACTCCAATGCTGCATTCCGAAGTCCTCCTGCCGCCCTCTTGTGCTTCAATTCACCTTCCTTGCATTCGTTCATGTATTCATAAACCACTCGAGCAAACAGGGGCCCATCCTCATCGTATAATTCCCACATCGTCCCAATCACGCTTCGGAATCCGATGAACTGCATAGCAGCTGATAGATGAAGTGCCTCGTCATGCACACCCGAATGGGACAGCTCGGCGGTATGGCAGGCAGAGAGAAATGCGAACTCAGCATTTGGGACGTTAGTTTGGATAATGTCAAGCAATGTCAATCCGCGGTCAGCGAGCTTGAACGACGAGTCGAAAGGTTCTGGATTGAGGTGGCCATGACAAGCAAAGTGGATCCACGTCACCTTCCGGAGCATCTCCATCACTTTACGCCGAGATGCCCTGCGGTTAAGAAGTTTTGTATAGTCTGATTCGCAAATGTCCATGCAAATTTGGATGTTACGAATTTCCTGTTTAGTTGATCGCAGCGTCACGGTATCCCCAACGACAAGCAATTTTGGTTCACTCGTGCCCGTATTGGATCGCGCACTAATCAGTGCTCCGAGCGTTGGAGTGTATGATGAAATATAATCATCTAATAAGTATTTTGTGGTCCCATCTGAATCCTTGAATGGTCCTGCAGCATGGAACGGGAGTGCAGACAACACCGACGTGGGACACCACCAGATGCGAGACCCTTTTGCAATCCCAAGTTCCGTCAGTTTACTAACGACTTTGGAGACAACTCTATCCCATAACATCTTCATCGCTTCGCAAAGTTTCTCTCCATATTTCAGCGGATCCGATTTGAGCCGTTGTCGTGTATTAACAAGTTCGTCGCACAGCCCAATGCTGTCCTCATAGAACTCTTCGTCCAATGGAATGCAGACTACGGAATAAACGTCACGAAAGATAATGAGGGCGTCGGAACGATATTTGTTATGATTCACCATGATGATCGGTCCCTCCGATGCTGCCTGCTGCAGTTCTCTGAAGGGCGTAACTTTCAGGAAGTTCTCATATCCAGGTACTTGTCGAATCTCGTTTATAATTCCGTCTTGCTCAAGCAAAAGTTCCTTCTTTAATCTCAATAGCTGATCATGCAATTTCTGTCCTGGCCTGTTGTCTGGCCCGGGTAATACGCGTCCGTCCATATCTGAACCGGACATTAACGCCTCGTGCGATAATGAGAGGTGCTCCAGCCTGCGATTGACATCCTTGAACCTGTCAGTGAGTCCTTCATTTGTTTCTGCAAGCTGGTCTATAGGAGTCCTGAGACCGCGCATCTGCGACCAGAGTAACCCCCTTCCTTGTTCAAGTGTCTCTACCGCTTGTTCCAATTCATTCTTCTCTATTGCGTAGGACGCTGCCTCCGAAGTAAGCGTTCTATGGACATTCTCGCCGGTAAGAAAGTCGTGTTGTTCGCGGAGGGTGGGACGTATGGTGAGAGCACGTTGAAGTATCGACATAGCTGTTTGGTAAGCTGATAAGGCCGTGTGATTCTTGTGTAATCGTGCAAGTGTCGCCCACCGTCGTGCAGCAGTGAGGCGGTCCAACAATCCTGAGAATTCATGAGTAGCAGCAAGTTGCAGTAGGCGCATACATTCCTTGAACTCCTCTGTGTTCCATCGATTCTTGATCCGAGAATATAAGGAATTTGCAAGGCCCCATAGTGTAGAGGAACGAAGAGGGTGGCCTTCGGGTCGAAGGTCAAGGGCTGCTTGGTACAACCTAGTGACTTCCTCGAGGTCCTCAGTCCTTCCTTGCTGCTCGTATTTGGTTCTCAGAGAGTTTGCGAGATTGTTGCATGAGATAGAGCGATGAGGATGGCCTTCGGGTCGAAGGTCTAGGGCAGCTCGCTGCAACTCAATGGTTTCCTCGAGGTCCTTTGTCACTCCTTGCTGATTGTATCGGGATTTCAAAGAGCTTGCAAGATTACCAAGAGAGATAGAGCGATGGGGATGGCCCGCAGGTCGAAGGTCGAGGGCGGTTCGGTGCAACTCAATGGCTTCTTCGAGGTCCTTTGTCCCTCCTTGCCGCTCGTATCGGGCTTTCAGAGAGCTTGCAAGATTGCAGAGAGACATAGAGCAATCAGGATGGCCTTCAGGGAGCAGGTCGAGGGTGGCTCGCTCCAACTCAATGGCTTCCTCAAGGTCCTTCGTCGTTCCTTGCTGCTCAAATCGGGTTTCCAGAGACCTTGCAAGATTTCCGAGAGAGACAGAGCGATGAGGATGGCCCTTGGGTCGAAGCTCGAGGGCGGCTCGGTCCAACTCAATGGCTTCTTCGAGGTCCTTCGTCGATCCTTGCTGCCTGTATCGGGTACTTAGATAGGTTGCAAGATTGCCGAGAGAGATAGAGCGATGAGGATGGCCTTCGGGTCGAAGCTCGAGGGCAGCTCGACCCAACTCAATACCTTCCTCGAGGTCCTTCGTCGCTCCGAGTTGCTCGAATCGGGTTATCAGAGAGCCTGCAAGGTTGTCAAGAGAGATAGAGCGACCAGGATGGCCTTTGGGTCGAAGCTCGAGGGCGGCTCGCTCCAATTTAATGGCTTCCTCGAGGTCCTTCATCACTCCTTGTTGCTCGTACCGCATTGCTAGAGAATTTGCAAGATTGCCGAGAGAGTCAGAGCGACCAGGATGGCCATCGGGTCGAAGCTCGAGGGCGGTTCGGTTCAGCTCGATGGCTTCTTCTAGATCTTCCAATTGGCCCCATCGTTCGTATCGCGTCAAAAGATAACGTGCAAGGTCATACAACGATTTCGAGCGATTGGGATGTCCTTTAGGACGACGTTTAAGAGCAATACGCTCGTGAGCAATAGACTTGTCAAGTTCTCCTCGTTCTCCCGTTTTCTCAAAGCTTTCCCAGAAACAACGGGCGAGTTTGTTGTCTCTCTTAGAACAATCGAAAAGGGCTCGAAGTGCAGTAGCAATTGCTTCCATGTCTCGATATTCTCTGCTGGTAAAGTTTCGGTCAAAGTGTAGTTCATATGGCAAGAAGAAGGCGTTACCTGGTAGCCTTTGTGTTGACGTGTCTTCACACAGCTGGGGAGTCGATTGTGGTTAAGGGCAAGAGTCGGGCGCTTGTTCGCTGCACTGGCCATCCTGATGGCGATGTGATAGTGTGCGTGGCAAAAATAGATTCGAAGTCGTTTTGCAATCACTGGGTGCACAGCCTTGAACTCCGTTGTGATGCTTACGACCTCTTCTAGCCCAACTCAAACAGCTTTAAAGCATCATCATTGCATTACATTGTCCGGTGCGACATGGAATTGGACATAGCATTAGCATTAGCTGAACGGGGTTTACTTGTCTGTGGTAAATAATAATAGGCTTTAATAGCATAGCAAGATCGATAATACAGTCTTGGACAAGGATGGAAGTGATCGACGTTCCCACCAAGGCAGTTCTCACTTTCCAGCATGATGTCTTTTTGACTTGTGTTCCATCGTGCAGCCATTGTTGCTCTGGACTTGTGCGCTACCTAACTCTTCACTAATCTACTAAACTAGTACATGAACTTGTTGCAAGTCTCGATACTGCTCGAGAAGTGCAAAAGATGGTTGATTTTGTTGGCATACCACTAATCTACAAAATGGATACTCTCAATTGATGCGGAGGAAGTACACAAACCGAACAGTCGTTGTCTACAAGAGAGTTTCTCAGGAACCTGCAAGATATATACAAGCAGTGAAATAAGTAGGTCACCGATGATGCATTCAAATTCAACAGCACTCGTACGTGCCGATATTCACCCAACACCGAATTCATTTCTTAGAGAAAAAAATAATTACCTATAGACCATCGTTGTATCCAGCACGTCCCATGTTGCTGTTCCACTCTACAGCGCATTCTGTGCTGCAGCTGGTTTGCAGGTACACCAATTGTCCGTACAGGCAAGTTCACCCCATTATGACTTGTACCAGCCGGAGATGCCCAACGAGTTCAATGCAGGATTATTGCTGATACGAATGAGGCGTTGCCTTGATCTTTTACGCCGCAACGGAAGTACGCTATTGTGCTACCTGGGGAAACGATTCTTGTGTTTTACAAGATGAGGAATGCGAGGAATCGGGATGTCATTGAGGTTGCTATTAGTGCTCCGCACTAGTGATACGCACGGTCAGGTCGTGACCTGTTTTGACCCCGACCTGACCCCGACCTGACCCATTTTGACCTGACCCAGCATGCTAGGTCAGGCCAGGTCAAACTTGGGTCAGGTCATGGGTCAGCATTCTCCCAGGTTTTCCTGACCCAGTTTGACCTAGCCTGACCTTGACCTGACCTGTAACCTATATGTAAATAATGTTATTAAAATTTTAGTAACTTTTACTTACTTATAAATGTTTTAACTATATTCTGATTCTAATTAATCTTTTTATATATACTATCTAAATAGCTTTTATCCTCTTACATAGTCTTTCTTTACTATTTAATTGTTACTGTCTCAAATATATATATCTTATTCTACTTACAAGTATAACTTACTATATATGTATATGACTAAAAGAGTATAATGTTTACTATACTTTACTTATAATAAAGCTTAGCTTAATTGTTAAAAGTTCTTAAACTCTTTTACTAATCTGTACTATATACTTTAGTCTTACTCTTTTACTTAGTATACTTTAACAGTTTTAACTATAAGACTATTGTTGACAAAAGTTAAGCCTTTCTATAAATGTGTTAAAACTACTAATAATACTATATCTGATTCAAACTATTAGTTAGAGTATTACTTAGTAATAAAAAAAGTAGAATAAAATACTAAACTAAAAGCCTTCCTAGTCTGTGTCTTGTATTACTGGAAACTTCCTAGTATGTACTATATGTTGACCCAGGTTGACCTATAACCTGACCTGACCTGACCCGTTTTGACCTGACCCAGCTGGGTCAGCCTGGGTCAGGCCACAGGTCAGGATTTTTCAAAAATTCTGACCTGGGTCAGGTCACAGGTCAGACTAAAAATCCTCCTGACCCAACCTGACCTGACCTTGTGTATTACTACTCTACACTATAGTATAATTTACAGATATGCCTGTAGTGTATATGCTTATACACTGTATCATAAGAGAAAATTTTAGCTGAAAATACATATGTATATTTACATACATATACATATACCATGAGTAAAAAATTTCCATATACACTGTATATGAGTATACAGTATTACTAAGCATATTCTCTAATTAAATACTAAGTTTGAGTTTCTAAACCTCATTTACTTTACTTATTTATATACTAAATCATTTTAATACTATATAACAACCTTGTTTAACTTGAAAAGTACTAGTATGAGTACTACAGTTAGTATGGTTACTACAGTACATCACATGAAGGTTTAGAGCTGTCACATGATATTAACTCACAACACTCAACTGTCTTATTTCTGTGTGTAAACAGTACTACTATACATTTTATTAGCTCAGTAATATCAAGCATTTGTTTTGAAAGATAATAGTGTACTTTTATGAGCTATTTTAATGTAAAGTATCTTGTTATATTTGGCACAGCATATATGCTGTATACACTGTATACAGAAGTAGCATATTGTATATGGGTCCTACTGACCCAGTTTACACTCATAATTATATGCATGTATGTGTATACATAGGAAATTTTACACACATAAGTGTATACACTATACACAGAGCACTAGTTGCTATGTGTAATGTTACACCTGACTGAGTACATTCATTGTTTCATTTCTTAGCAGTGATTCAGATTGGAATGGTTGGTTAGTGTAAATATCTGAGTAAGCAAAAGTAACCTTGTTTTGGCAATTATAGATTGAGTTTTGTAGTGCTTCAGATCTGATCATACCTTACTTCTGCCTCAGTAGCTGTTAAGACAGAGAGTTTGGAATGGCACTTGGATATATACACATATGTGCACACCCTTATATACTAGATACATTATACTATACTAGTAAATGAGACATAAAACACAGTGTGTTGAATACTCCCCTTTAAGCCCTAATATTCTGTTGTTAACATTGAAGACCTATAAGTTCTATTAAGTACTTGATTTGAGGGACATAAAGTGCTTTCATAAGGATGTCTGTGAAAGGATTTGGAAGGTTTTGTAATGGCACATAATGAAGAAAACCAGACTTTACTGTGAAGCACACAGAGACTATACCAGAAATGTGATTACATGACACAACTTCAAGAACACATACAAACAATAATAACATATCAAATGTGTCAGGATAGGCAAATCTGCAAAACACAAAGTATACAAACAGAAAGAAACACAATACAAGTAGTAGCATACTAAATACTATTCAATCAACCACAACACTGAATACAACATATTATACACAAAGGAATAAAACACAGAAGGAAGGAAGCATCATTCAAAATGCATATACACAAAATATACAACCCAACAATACATGAAGAATGTAAAGTAGTATAATTACATTTATTAATAAAGACACACTAAGATTACAAGGAAAATACAGTACAAATATTTGCCTCAATATAGAGTACTATCTAAGATGATAGAACACACAGCTGTACTGTATTAACAACCAGTCATCACAAAGGACTAACAAAACAATACAATATTAAAGTAATATATAGAGATCACTACCTAATAATACTATAAGAACACAAACACCTTAGATCTATAGAACTCAGATCTGAAGACCCTTATGTGCTCAACAAATGGTGAAAGGCAGGCAAGCCTTACACAAAACTCATTATACTATATGGGTACTTAATGACAGAGCCACCTAGAACTTAGAATTAATAGTACTAATCATAAGAAAGGCTAATTAAACTTAGCCAAGGAAAAGAAGCACTCCTAAGGAGTCAAATGAGAAAGCTGTACAAGAAGCATGTAGTAGGAAGGACTCAACATTGATCCCTATCCTAAAACAGAAACAACTAATGTGTTATAATTCTCTACTCTCTTACCTTCAGTTCTAAGGGTTCTACACTCTTCTGTACTGGAACTCAGGACTTCTGTCCCTCAGGGGTACTGTCTATAGACTATATGTATACTGACTCTTACTACTACCCTTCCTTACTTCATTATTCCATTCCTTTGACCACTCCTTCATTCTCTGTTCATTCTATAGTCTCTTACCCTTTGTCCATCCCTTCATTCTTATACTGTTATCTTTGACATTCCTTTCTTTCATTCTTTATAGCTTATCATTCTTAGTGGCTCATACTCCCTAAGTACTCTTATGTAGTTTAGTATATATAAGTGTACAAGATCAGACTAGTCCTGTAGTCTTGATCTTGTCTACTCTAAGTAGTCCTGTACTCTTAGGCTCACTCTATATACTCTACTCTTGTCTCACTCTCTCTCTCTGCCTGTTCTACAAGTTCTAACTATGTTCTAGTACTTGTGTTCTGTATTTCTATTGTGTAAGATAGTTGTAGCCTGGGTCCCCTTACTAAGCCTTTGAGTCCCCTCTATACTGTTGCTAACATCAGATCAAGACTACCTATTACTACCCTATGACTCTCCTATGTTTCAGGCATTAGTACTCACTGTTGTGTTGATCTCTTTCCTTTGTCCTAACCCTTTTACATTTTTAAATTTTAAACTTTCTAAACCCTTTTAAACTTTTGCCACCCTTCTTCTATTCATTACCCCTTTTAGTTTAGTGCTGATCCCTTTGTAGTATAAACATAGACCCTACTATACTAACTGCCACCCCTACTGTCCTGCCAGAACAGTAGTTACAAGCAGAACTAGCTTAATACATGTAAACCTCTATCTAAGAGGCCTTTACCAACTATGTGCCCCTAGCCCCTTCAGAACCTGTTCCAATTGTTCTAGAAGTTGTAACCTGTTCTAGAAAGAAAGTGTATGTAGCCTGCCCTTCAGACTTTAATAGGTAGCACTTTAAGGACTTCTAGTACTAAGTCAAACTATACATGACTACTACTTCAACCAATCTATCCTTAGATCTTAATTGTATCCTATTCATCCTCTCCTTCATAAAGGAAGGCAACACAGCCACCTGGGCCCAGAACTGGATCAAAGGCTATTGGATCAGAAGCCTGATCTGACTTTGAAACAATGAGTTGTATTCAGAATTCATGAGACAGCTTTGTACTTCCTTCATTAATCCAAATAAGAAGTATAATGTACAGAACAAGCTTGTGTCTCTGTGACAGGGCAAACATTCTACTAATGCCTTCTTTCAGGAGTTTGATATCCTAGCCTAAAAGGCAGGATTTGTGCTCAGGTTTAATAATGTTCTTATTAGAATACTCAAAAAAGCTCTTCACCTAGAACTGGTTAATAAGATTCTTAGAATGATACTAGAACTAGTCACTTACACTAAGTAGAAGATGTGTACTATCTCCTTTGACTAAGCTGTAGCTTGGATGTGTTAAGTCTGTACAGAACACTTGTACATGTGTCTAGCTCTGACAGTTCTGAGCCCTCAGATCAACCTACTTATAATTCACAATCAATCTGTTCTGATAGACATTAGAGAAGCCTGAAAGTAAGGAGTATACTTTGCTTACAGAAAGTCAGAGCACCAAATTAAGGACTGTCTACAGAAGTAACAGTACATTTGTCAGGTCATTAGAGTAATAATGAGTAATGAGTAGAATTTGTAGTAAGAAGCCTTTTCTACAAATCTGGAAGTCACCTTAGAACTCCTAGACTCTGACTATGTACTCTAGGATTTTGTAAAGGCCTAACAGTAAATGTAGTACTGAAGAGCTATGACTCAGATTTTTTAATAGCTACTTTTGATTCAATAGACACTATAGGATTAGAAGTAAATAAAGTAAGAAAAGTAGAAAAAGTAGAAAAAGTAGAAAAAATAAATTAACAAAATTATTTATTAGAAAGAAAAAAGTCAAAAACAAAAGTAGATAGTTCTCCTATTTCTCCTGATTCTTTTGATTCTTCTCTTCACACTTTATCTAAGTCTAAATCTACACAATCCAACCTACTACTTCTGTGTTCTAAGATTTTAGAATGTTTGGAACACTACCCAGCCCTATTTACTACTTAGTAGTTTGTCTATAGTATTAAGTAGGGATGGCCTTAGCTGAGTTCACAGCTAAGAACATAAGTCTGTCCTTGTTGAAAGAGAGAGGTTAATAAGGAAATGTTAGTACATATACTTACTCTCTCAGACAACAAGGCTGTACAAGCTGTACATTCCCTTCAGAACAAGTAG